TTGACGTTGGTGTTGAATATCCGGATGTTGTTCACGCTCCATGAGTGCAGAAGATCTCCACATTGGTTTCAGGTTAATGAAAGCCTGTCTTGCTTTTCCGATTCCGATCCTGACTTTGACATCCTCATCTGTGCCGCCGCCTGTATTTGAAACAGTGCTTCCTAGATATGTGAAAGAGGCTACTTCCTTCACGTTTCTCCAGTTGATGATTATTGGAGCTTGTTATGTTGGTTGAGTATCTTCATCACCTCTGTCTTCTCTATATTCACTTGCAGTCCCGTCTTCACTGCCCTGCCTCACCTATTCTGTCAACTTGTAAGTTTTCGCCTGTAGATTTTCAAGTTTGTGTGACATCAGACACAAGTCATCCTCGGTGAAATCCAAATCTTATTCCAGGTTCTTTTCTGCGGTCCAGCATATCCCCCACCTTCTCGCTCCCCAAAGTTTGCTGCATGATCCAGTCGACCACAATCAGGAATATCATGGGGATAGTAGGCAACCTCATTTCACTCCCGTCTTCACTTCAAGTGCAAAGGCATCACTGAGCTTGCCATTGTGAATTACTTGGCTGGTATGTGGCGTCTTCATATAGTTGTTGAATGAGATTGATAAAGGTTTGTGGTAGCGAAACCGTAGTGTTGAATCAACTGCCTGTCAAATTACTTGTCGGTCGACGCTGTCGAAGGCCGGCCTTCTCAAAGCCGATGAAGTTGAGGTAGATTTGAGTTGACTGCCGTTCTGTACTGTGTTCTGTGATGATGCGTAGTGTATCGTTGCAATTTGTTCCGCAAATGATTTGTACTTCTTGAAGCCAGCCAGCAAGCCTGTTCTGGTTGTAGTTTTGAGTCCAGTGCGTACTTTAGTCTCTCCAGGATGATGCGGCTTAATATTTTGCTTGCTTTGGGTGGACAGGAGAGTGATTCCGCTCCAGTTCTTGCAAACACTGAGGTCTCCCTTCTTCGTGAGTTTGACAAGGTAACCCTTCTTCCAGCCAACCTGTAGGTACCTTCCCTTCCTCGAAAACCTTCTGCAATAGTGGTATGGTGTGAGCATGTCCGCTGTTGTCTCTGTGTCTGTTTCCAGTGCTTCTGGCGGGTTCCCATCTGGTCCTGCTGCTTTCCCACATTTCAGCAGCTTTATGGCACTCAGAAGTTCCACCTTTGTTGGAGGATTTATGTTCACTTGTAATTCAGCGGCTGTAGGTGGTATTTGTGGACGAAGTGCAAGTGGTGGCGGTGGTCCATTCAAGAGCTTCTTGAAGTGGTCAGTCCATTGCTTCCTTGTTAACTTCTTTGGTAATTATATTTCCGTCATCATCTCTTATTGGTTTCATCTGTGCTGTGTTGATCTCTTCCCTCCCAGAGAGTAACCTGGTTATTTGATACAATGTTGTCAGGTCTCTGCCTCTCCTACCTGCAGCCTGTCCTGCTTCACATACCAATGTAACACAGAAGTGTCTTTTGTCTTTCCGTACACCTTCTTCACTTCTTTGTCCAGTGTAATGTTTTTTACATTGCACTCAGTTCCTCTTGTCGTTGAGCATCCTTGCACTGGTTTATCTTCTGCTTCACCATCCTCCTCTTCCTCCTCTATCAGCTTCCATGATACATCGAGATCCATTCCTTATCTTCTTTCTTCTTCCTTCCTAATACGGTTGTGCAGGTTTCTTTCCACATAGCTTTCAAAGACTTCCAATGTTCATCCACACAGGTTTCTTCAGGGATGTTCCTCGATATCTCCCATTTTGTCTTGATGGCTGGCTGCCGTGAAGATTTACTTTGTAGTTTCGTCCTTCAATTTCCGAGTGTTGTACTTGAACTGCGGTCTATCATTAGCATCCTTGAAGGCTTTTAACTTGATTTGGAAGGTGGGTTGCTTGGACTAGATAGTGACTGGTCTGATCCTACATCTGCTCCTCTTCTTGACCTTGTGTCAAGTAGGCTGTGTGTCCACTTTCTTCACATTGATATGAAATTGATCTGATTTTTAGTGTACTGTGTCCTGGTGTCTGGTGAAATCCATGTCGCTCGCTTTGTGTATATCCTTGTGCTTGAACACACTGCCTGACTCCAATCACCAAATTGTTGAATGCACAGAATTCTGCAAACGATTCTCCATTCTCGTTCATTTCACCGAATGCTTCTTGATACATGATGAGTTCTCTTCCTGTGTTGTCCCCTCCCAGTTTGGCATTCATGTCACCCCACCCATTAGGATTTTGATGTCGCCAACTGAGATGGGGTCTTGTCCAGTGTTGATTGCAGTTGTCTGTAGAGTTCCTCCTTTTTCTTTGCTCTGCATTAATTGTAGGTGCATAGGGTAGCATTGTATAATTGTGACCTTCCTTCCTTCCTTCCTTTTGAGTTGAATCTTGCTGTCATGATCCTGATTGTGGAGGAGATTGGTTCCCACTGCATGAGAGAGAGCCTTCGATGCTCTTGATCAAGGGACATCATGATAGCCACTCCATAACTCAGTGTGTTCGTGGTTGTCGTCTGTGTGACAATATCAGAGTAGATTATTGATTCTCCAGTTGACAGTTTGGAGAGTCCACTCCCATTCCATCTACTTTCGCAAATTCCAAGCACTTCAGTGTGATACCTTCTCATCTCGTTTGCAATCTGGGCTGTCTTGCTGTATTCAAACATGGTGCGGACATTCCATGTCCCCACGTTTACTTTCGCTTTCATTGAGAGAAGAGGAGATACATCGGTCCATTGGCTTCCCGAAGACATTCACCAACTGGCGTCATTCTGCCTCTCCGATGTCAGCAATGAATAATTTTGTTATTATTTTTATATTTGGTTTGTGCTGCGAAGTTTCTGTAGTGGTTGGATTTGTTTTGCGGGGTCGGGTTGCTATTCCTATGCCCAACGTTCCGTCTTTACCCGGGCTTAGGACCGGCTAGTAACTAGTGAACTAGTTAGCCAGCAGAGGTTAGTCATCCAAATAGAGTAAGAATAAGAGAATATCACAGAAATTCGATCTAAAACAACCGTACAAAACGTAGACTAATGAATAGTTAGTTGTTTAATTCATCAGTTAATGTAGTACTGTAGTATTTTGTTCTGGATTATGTTCCACCTTAAAGTTGATGAAAGTGATCACTTAAATGTTTTAAGAAGCATTAGTAGAGGCCAAAGTGACAAAAACGTTTGTGTGTTTTTAAATAACAAAGCTTAAACACATAGAAGATGAGCACATCTTGACACGAAGAAAATGGTTACTTTTTAAATATTTGCTGCATACCAGCAAGATGTTTACGGCCACTCATTATCGCTTTAGGTGAAAAATGTCCTTCATATACTTGAAAAACTGTCACTGAAAATTTAGGGATATCTATGTTTCGATAGATCAGCCATAATGTCAAGTTTGAACAGCATGGGATTTTAAAAGATAAGTAGAGACTGTGGTCACTCATTAAGTACTTTCCGACACTCCTACACGTAAAGTCATCAAAAATGGTCATTTTAGGTTTTGTCAAGCTCCTAGAGAAGGGAGACCTAAGTGTTTGCAAGAACTCGCTAGGAATCATGCTCCTGTCCACACCCACCCAAGCAAAATACTAAGCCGCATCATCGGGGAGAGACTGAAAGAGGCTCCAGATTCAAAGTTATAACCGGAACAGGCTGGCTGGCTGGATTCAGGAAGAACAAATCATGTGCAGATCAAATTGCAACACTCTGCTAAGCATCATCGTAGAACAAAGCATAGAATGGCAGTCAACTCTCCAACTCAAGTCATCGACTTTGAGAAGGCCTTCGACAGCGTCAATCGAGAAGTAATTTGACAGGCAGCTGCTTCAACATTACGGTTTTAGTGCTACAAAACTTTATCAGCCTCATTCAACAGCTATATTAAAACGCCACATGCCAAGTGATCCATAATGGAAAGCTCAATGATGCCTTTGAAGTGAAAACAGGTGACAGGAATAAGACAGGGCTGCAGCCTACTATCACTGACGATCTTCCTGATTGTGGTCGACTGGACTGGACTGGATGATGCAACAGACAAGTGTGACGAGCCGTGAGAGCATGGGCATATGCTGGCTGGACCAATGAAAAGACCGTAGAACAAGATTTGGATCTGGCCGTTGATGATGAATTATGTCTTATGTCTTGTCGCACAAGTTTAAAGATCTGTAGGTGAAAACCAACAAGTTGACCAAAGAGCCGAGGCAGCGAAGTAAGACGGGACTTCTTAAGGTGAACATAGAGAAGACAGAGGTGATGAAGATACCCGACCAACAACCACCACCACAACAACAAGCACCATCAACGGAGAAAATTTAAGAAAGTGGTCTCTTTCACCTACCTCTATGCCTAGGCAGCATCGTTTCAACTACAGGTGGCGGTGGTGTCACAGATGAGGATATCAAAGCAGCCAGGATCCGAAAGACAACAAGGCAGGTCTTCATTAAGCTGCAATCAGTGTGAGGATCTACTGCAATGCACTACACTGCACTGTACTGCACTCAGTATAAAGCGTGAACGACATCCGGCTTTTCAACAGTAATTCACTCAAGTCAGTCAGTGCTTCTGTGTGATGGTTGAGAGACTTGGCGTGTTACGAATAGCATTTCCAACAAACCACTGACATTCATCAACAGCTGCTTACGCTCGTTGCTGAAGATCAGATAGCCGGAAAGAATAAGCAACGAGGAACTCTGGGAACGAACCAACCAAGAACACATCAGTCAACAACTATGCAGAAGAAAATGGAGATGAATTGGATTGGGCATACACTGAGAAGGTGGATTGGGGACATCACACACCAGACCAGGTAAGGTCGTCGAGTGGAATCCAAATGTGATACTACGAGTTTGGTGTCTTAGGGAATCATGGAGAAGATCATGTGAGGATGAAATAAAAGCTTGTGGGCAGTCACGAAGTGAGGTTCAAAAGACTTCAGAGAAGGCAGTGCAATGGAGGCGTGCTACTGAAGCCCTTTTTTCGCTAGAAACGGAAGGGATAAACAAAAAGATAAATCAGAATGTTTTTATGCTACCTGTATTTATCGTTAAGTAGCGAAAGGTAACAAAGGATACTACGTTGATAAAGTCATTTTATATTTTTATTAGTTCTGTTCACCAATCAAAATATTTGATTCATGCACCCATATACATAATCCTTATAGCTGCAGGTCTAGCAGTAATTCATGAAGGCTTTTATTAATTTGAGCAACTATTTTCCGCATTGCATAAACATAAATCAATTTGCTTTGATTTACTTGTCCTGGTATATCAAAATTTAATGGATATAATATGCAGGGTAAAGTTGAATGTAACTGTTGCCATTTAATGCATTTCGCACAAAATGAATCAACCGTCATTGGATTTGTGTTATTGTTTGTTTCATTTGGAACTGATGACTCACTGTTTGCTAAGTAGTACTCTGATAATAACGGATCAACTAAATGATCAACAGTGTGTTTATCCAGCCATTTGTCATTCACATTATCACTATTGTTGCTGTCATCGACATAATGATAATGATGATTATCTTGCTCGAATCCATGATGGTGGTGATTATCCATGCTGGTTAGTGACTCACTTGTTGTTATTGGAGCTGATTCAGTTGATCTGTGATGAGTGATTTCTTTTGTAGGGAGCAGATTAATGTAATAATCAGATGTCGCATTATCTGTTAAGTAAGAATAAACAGAAATTAAACATATAATTTTTGACGTAAAAAGCAGCATCAATGAACATTGAGGATTGCTCTGCTTGTTGACTATGAGTTTTAAAAAGAGAAATCTTTTCTTTAGTGGCTGACTGAGAGTCAGGTTTCATATATTTTACAAGGAATGAGAATCGGTAAATGTAAATTCGACAAAATGCAGTCAGCAAACACTGTATCCTTAACCACACAATCAAAAACGATTCATGTTGTGTAAAATGTGAGTCGGATCGCAGTTATTTATTTCAGAATAGTTTTGAAACAAGGCTGCCACCATTGTTTTCACTTAAGCATCTGTAAGTTAACAGATATATCTTCATCATACTCAAATTATAGCTATTTGGCTTCATTCTAGAGCACTATACTGCGAATGATTTTCAAGAAAAATAACTGTTGGTTGGGTCATTTTATAAACTGTCTCGACAGACCATGAAAGCTCTTGCAAGATATGATGTTGATGATTTTGAAAACGCAGGACAAAACACTATGAAGTAAGTCTCCTGAAGTTTTTTGCATTTTTAGAGCAAACAATTCAAGTTTATCAACAAATAATTTCCAGAGTGAAGTGCAGCAATATGAGGGCCATAACGAAAAGAATCCAAGCCATATGCCTCAAGCAACCATGTAATTCAACAAACCCAATCCTCTTGATGAAACTAGATCACCAATGAAACATTATAGTCCTTTCAACAATACTTGTAGCTTAGGGAATAAATGAATTAGTGAAAAAGCAAAAGTAAAAAGTTGCGGTATTACTGCTATCACAAGAACATGACTTTACTGGAACAGTGAAATGCAGTCAGAAGAACTATTTCTCTTATTGACTGATGGATGTCTGAAAAGAAATTGCAGTCATATTTTGAGTTGAGAATACCTCATCTGTAACTGCCATGGAATTACTGTGTTATTGATCATGGTGAAAGTGATAAGAAATCAGATGGGTTGTAGCAAACTGCTGTCCTAAATGTAAAGTCACAAGATTCTTCCTCCACAAGCTGACCCACTGGACAGATAGATTTTGACTTCTGGGTTACAAAGGGATTCAGTGCACTGTTAGTGGACTAGCATAACATATCACCATAGGCATCAGACAGTTCGTTTGGTTGCAGACTGTGGCAATTAATAGTTTATTATACTTATGTATAGCACAATCCACTACAGTTACAAAATGTTTGACCGCCTGAAGAAAATGAAATAATTTGCTTCTGTATAGATAACAGTAAAAATCAAGATAGGCGTTTCGTCACGCTCTGGACTCATCAGTCGGATATACCTGCACTCCAGAGGGTGATGCTGTTGCCACTGAGGCTCAATTCCAGTGCTCATCGCTTGAAAAGCCAGAGTGTTATTCACTAGGCCACAACATAACGGAAAGTCAGGTGTTGCTGACTATTATTATTATTATTAGTCCCTTGGGTTCCTAGTGGAACATAGGGCTTCAGTAGCACGCCTCCAGTGACCTCTGTTCTCTGAGATCTTTTGAACCTGGTCCCACGACAGCCCACAAGCTCTCATTTCCTCCTCGCACGACCTCCTCCATGTCACCCTCGGACGTCCAACTCGTCGCTTCCCATGGGGATTCCACTCGAGGGCCTGACGCGTGATGTCCTCAGTCGGCCTTCTCAGTGCATGGCCAATCCATCTCCACTTCTTCCTGCATATTTGTTGCGTGATAGGTTCTTGGTTGGTTCGTTCCCAGAGTTCCTTGTTGCTTATTTTTTCTGGCCATCTGATCTTCAGCAGCGAGCGTAAGCAGTTGTTGATGAATGTCTGTAGTTTATTGGAAATACCTTTCGTGACGCGCCAAGTCTCTGAGCCATACAAGAGCACTGACTTGACGTTGGTGTTGAAAATCCGTATCTTGTTCCGCATGCTGAGTGCAGAAGATCTCCACACTGGTTTCAGGCTAATGAATGCCTGTCTTGCTTTTCCGATTCTGACTTTGACGTCCTCGTCCGTCCCGCCTGTAGTTGAAACAGTGCTTCCTAGATAAGTGAAGGAGGTTACTTCCTTCAAGTTTCTCCCGTTGACGGTGATTGGAGTTTGTTGTTGTTGATGGTGGTGGTGCGGTATCTTCATCACTTCTGTCTTCTCTATATTCACCTGAAGTCCCGTCTTAGCTGCCTCTTCTATCAACTTGTTAGTTTTTGCCTGCAGATCTTCAAGTTTATGTGACATTAGGCATAAGTCATCGGCGAAATCCAAGTCTTCTAGGTTCTTTTCCGTCGTCCAGTGTATCCCCCTCTTCTCGCTGCCTACTGTTTGCTGCATGATCCAGTCCAGTCGACCACAATAAGGAATATCATGGGGGATAGTAGGCAACCTTGTTTCACTCCTGTCTTCACTTCAAAGGCATCACTGAGCTTCCCATTGTGGATTACTTGGCATGTGGCATCTTCATATAGTTGTTGAATGAGGCGGATAAAGGTTTGCGGCACTCCGTAGTATTGAAGCAGTTTCCAAATTACCTCTCGGTCGACGCTGTCAAAGGCCTTCTCAAAGTCGATGAAGTTGAGGTGGAGAGGTGATTGCCATTCTATGCTCTGTTCTATGATGATGCGAAGCGTTGCAATTTGGTCTGCACATGATTTGTACTTCCTGAAGCCTGCCTGTTCCGGTCGTAGTTTTGAATCCAGTGCATCCCTTAGCCTCTCCAGGATGATGCGGCTTAATATTTTACTTGGGGTGGACAGGAGAGTGATTCCGCGCCAGTTCTTGCAAGCACTGAGGTCTCCCTTCTTCGGCAGTTTGACAAGGTAACCCTTCTTCCAATCGTCAGGTACCTTCTCTTCCTTCCACACCTTCTGCAATAGTGGTGTGAGCATGGCCGCTGTTGTCTCTGCATCTGTTCTCAGTGCTTCTGGCGGTATTCCATCTGGTCCTGCTGCTTTCCCACATTTCAGTAGCTTTATGGCGTTCAGGACTTCCATTTTCGTTGGGGGATTAATGTTCACTTGTAGTTCAGCGGCTGCAGGTGGTATTTCTGGACGAAGTGCAGGTGGTGGTCGATTCAAGAGCTTCTTGAAGTGGTCGGCCCATCGTTTCCTCTGTTTCTCTTCTTTTGTAATTAAATTTCCTTCTTCATCTTTTATTGGTTTCATCTGTGTTGGTCTCTTCCCTGATAGCAACCTGGTTATTTGATACAATGTCGTCAGGTCTCTCTTACCTGCAGCCTGTTCTGCTTCACTTGCCAGTGTTTCGTAGAAGTGTCTTTTGTCTTTGCGTGCACTCTTCTTCACTTCTTTGTCCAGTGTTTTATACATTGTGCTCAGTTCCTCTTGTCGTTGAGCATCCTTGCACTGGTTTATCTTCTGCTTCACCATCCTCCTCTCCTCTATCAGCTTCCAGGTATCCGTCGAGATCCATTCCTTGTCTTCTTTCTTCTTCCTTCCTAATACTGTTGTGCAGGTTTCTTTCCACATAGCTTTCAAAGACTTCCAGTGTTCTTCCACACAGGTTTCTTCAGGGATGTTGCTCGATGTCTCCCATTTTGTCTTGATGGCTGCCTTGAAGATCTCCTTTGTAGTTTCATCCTTCAGTTTCCGAGTGTTGTACTTGAATTGAGGTCTATCACCAGCTTCCTTGAAGGCTTTTAACTTGATTTGGAAGGTTCCTTGCACTAGTAGTGGTCTGAACCTACATCTGCTCCTCTTCTTGACCTTGTGTTAAGTAGACTGCGTCTCCATTTTCTTGAGATTGAGATAAAGTCGATTTGATTTTTAGTGTGTCCATCTGGTGAAATCCATGTCGCTTTGTGGATATCTTTGTGCCTGAACACACTGCCTCCAATCACCAAATCGTTGAATGCGCAGAATTCTGCAAACAATTCTCCATTCTCATTCATTTCACCTAGTGCCTCTCGACCCATGGTTAGTTCTCTTCCCGTGTTGTCCCCTCCCAGTTTGGCATTCATGTCGCCCATCAGAATTTTGATATCGCCAACTGACGTCTTGTCCAGTGTTGATTGAAGTTGTCTGTAGAAATCCTCCTTTTTCTCTTGCTCTGCATTATTTGTAGGTGCATAACATTGTATGATTGTGACCTTTCTTCCTTTTGAGTTGAATCTTGCTGTCATGATCCTGGAGGAGATTGGTTCCCACTGCATGAGAGCCTTCGATGCTCTTGAGGACATCATGATAGCCACTCCCTCAGTGTGCTCGTGGTTGGCGTCTGGGTGACCGGAGTAGATTATTGATTCTCCAGTTGACAGTTTGGAGAGTCCACTCCCATTCCATCTGCTTTCGCAAATCCCAAGCACTTCGATGTTATACCTTCTCATCTCCTTGCAATCTGGGCTGCCTTACTGGGTTCAAACATCGTGCGGACATTCCATGTCCCCACGTTTACTTTCGCTTTCATCGAGAGAAGACACATCGGCCAATTGGCTTCCCGAAGGCTTTCACCAACTGGCGTCATTTCGCCTCTCCGATTCCAGCGGGGAATAAGTTTGTTTTCATTTTTTATATTTTGTTTGTGCTTTGAAGTTTCTTTAGCGGTTAGATTTGTTTTACGGGGTAGGGTTGCTAGCCCTATGCCCAACCTTCCCTCTTTACCCGGGCTTAGGACCGGCTAGTAACTAGTAAACTAGTTAACCAGGCGAGGTTGGTGTTGCTGACTGGTCCGCATATAAACTTAGGCCAGCAGAGTGAGATCATTTCAATCGAAAACAAATATGAGAAGTTGCAAGTAGCAATAATTGATAATCAGGATGAAATAAGTTTCATATTTGATAACTTCTTGCACTAGTAATAACAATACTAATATCACTACCAAATCTCAGTTTTCATACTAAAGGTATGGAGGGTCGATATAGAAGTTATCAGCATTTTAGCCTATTCTGAATTCCAGGCAGTCAATCCAAAAACTTTGTTTGAAGCTACACTACATTAATTCCAATGTCAGTGTACCCCAGTGGTGTGGATTTTTATTCTAGGGACTTCCACGCTTGGACAGACAATGAAGATGGTAGTGTACCAGAGTGAAGAAAGACACTAACCTTTTTAGGTTGGTAGGTGTTCTCAAAATGAATAAGCAATACACTGTTATTCACAAATAAATGCACTGCAGCAATATACCAGTTTCCAATAGATTTTAGAGCTAAACTAATACAGGTTTCCACTGAGCAATTTTAAAAGCTATTTTCAGGAATCATTTATCAAAGTTAGAATTATCATACCTTTCTGCTCTCGTTAAAAAGGAAGAAATCTTCGAAATAATCGGAGATCCATGTGCAAGAGGCTCCATAGGTAATAATTTAATACGGAAGTGCTGACACCAAAACGTATTGACTTCTGAAGATTTATCAAAATGACTTATCTAGCATTCACAGCACTTTGCACACCAGAAAAGCACAAAGACCACAATAACTGCACTCAAAGCTCCTCAGAAAGCCTAAAACTCATATATTTGATCTACTGGATACCATATTTAGGCTGTTTCTCAACCAATGTATATTGTTATACGGCTGGAAGTATCCAATATTCACTCATGTTCATGTAGCAGGGGCTAAGCTTAATGAAAGGTCATGACGCTTCACAAGTTTGAAAGAGAAAGTTCTTGGAAAACTAATAAAAACACCTCTAAGGCACATCTTTTAAAACTTATTCTTATGTAGAGTGCAACATTTAATTCATTTCAAAACTAAGTGGGGAAACGATGCGTAGCATGAAGTCCTAGTCATACCCTATTCGTCAGAGATGGTATTTTAAGGTACTTCTAACTTATAAAATAACTGTCTATGGTGTATTGTGTATTAGTAATCCCTCAACATTTTGGGTGTCAAATGAAAGAGTGTGATAGTCGAACACTTCATAAAAGTTACCTAAAACACACGCTGAAATATGTGAAATAACCGTTTCATATTATGTGAAAAAAGTTGTCAGGTTTTGATTGAATTCATTGAATTGACTGTTTCAGTATGTACTCTAAGCTGATTAATTTGGTACCGTAGAGAATCTGTTGCAATGCAGACATAAGCTATTGTGGCCACAAGCAGATATGCGAAATTCAAAAATTAATAGATGAAGGTATATAAGTATACAAAGGCATTGAGTCATTAAATGAAAGAAATGCCAAAAGTGTTAGAATTAATTACATTTATACTAAATAATTTACAAAAATACTATCTCACCATTTTTCAGCAAATCATTATAAGGAAGTTTTTCGATCACAGAATTATTATATTCTTCGTATTCACTATATTGTCCCCAGTTGACCAATCCTTCATGGTGATGATCTGCAAATGATAATATGCATCAACGGAGATGAATGAGAATACTGAATATTTCGATTGGTACTTGTTTCTACTAGCTAGCTACCACTGCTTACTGAACCAATCCAACTTTAAGTTTTAGTACCAACAGACAGTTGTCATTGGATGTACCTTTTCAGCTGGCTAAATCTGTTGAAGTGTAGTTTATTCAGTTTGTTTTTCGTATGTGCTACTGGAAAGACTTTTCTGATTTACTAGCATTCACTAGTGAATCTCATTCACAGTACAAAGTAAGAAGTTATATTACCACAAAAATCCCAAACTCAAAACATCTCCTAATCTACCAGAGGAATGTTCTTCTAAATTATCTGAAGTGAAAATCTGACTGCGACAACAAGCGATGTTGAGGGAGAATCACTCTCTCCAGGTTTATCTTATTATCAAGTTTCATCAATCACTTCACCAAAAAGAAAAAGAAACAAACAATGAATTTGAAATAAATCTTTTTATGCTCTTAATAATATCTAACTCACGTCCTGCATTGAGGTAATCTTGTTCAACTCGCTCTCCATCGGTTTGATCTTGCGGTCTTTCTTCCTTTCCACCTTTTTCTTCGGCTTCATCATGATATTCTGCCTCATTGCTTTCATGACTTTCAATCTCCTTTTGAGTGGACAGTTCCGAGTCAGTAGCATACGGATATTCCTCACCCCAACGTGCTAAACCTCGATGAATATGTTTTTCACCTAGGAGATTAAATTAAAATTGTAAAAAGTGTTTATCATAAGGTTAAAGTTTGGGTGTTACCTTAACATGTTTATAGTGAAGCTGAAATGTGATATTAGTGATTAAACATATTCTTGCATGTGATTTGTTGAGTTTTCACTTTTGTACTTCTGCATCAGTCACTTTATAGGGTATCAAACTAAAAAGATACTGAAAATAAGATGCTGGGTAGCAGAAAACAAAATATTTTGAAAATTCAGTAGTTCGCTAGACTGCCAGCAACTTCTAAACTAGGAAAAAATTATGCTTTGTCGTATCGAACGTCTTGATACATAAAAATTCCTTTAACTGTCTTCAGTCTCAGAGATTTCTTGCATCAACTTTCCTTAAAGACATTCCAGCTTTCATGAGAACCAATACGGACCTGGGAGCACTGGATATGTGTTTCGTCCTAGAATGGGACACCGTTTCAATGTATGTCAAAGGACACCACCAAACTGACGACATCAACACATGCCTTCTCACTACCTGTGCTATAATTTCTCCATCATACCTCTCTATTCAGCATACCAGCCTATTGAATTTCAAGAATCTAGAATGCTGCTCAATCCATATATTTATCTAACTCACCGTATCACAAGAATTATTAATTAATACTTAGTTTCTAAAGATTTGGAGAATTTACTGGTTGGTTTTAGTTCAACTGCCAAAGTCATGGTCATACGATTTTCAAAAACTATAAAAACCTATTGACTCACTTTGCCTGGAAGATAGCTGTTTATTTCTGACTAGTTTTATATTTCAACATCCGTCGAACAAGAATGCGTTAGACACGATCTTCCTTATTAACTCATAAATAAAAATAATAGGAGGTCATAAATTCATTCAAAAGGCACAAGGTAATTCAGTGAAAAAAATTCCTCTCCGATGAATCATTTTCACTCCCTGTACAATGGTATTTATGGTGATGATAAACATAAAAGTCTATTGTTAGTTAATAGGTCTACATTAAGTCAAAAAAGCAATGTTATTGTTTCTCATCTGTTAGTCTTCACCGTGATAAAATGAATATTCTTGTTACATACTTGACTTTCACGCAGTTTTCCTCTAACTCTAGAAACCATTCACTATACCCTCATAGAATATTTTGTTTCCATGATCTAATGTTGACTGATTAACCAATAACCGACTTATTTGTTTGACATTACTATAATTGCAGTTGTACGGTTGATTCGTCGAAAAGAAAATTCTCTTCGTTGAGTTATCTTGTACTAATTTGAATATCTTACTGAGGCTTTTTTCCTGTCTAAAAGGCTGGTTTGCAGAAGTAGTCCAAGTATTCAATGACCTAAATGTACTCGAAAACAAATATGAATTACAGTGAAGGGTACATGAATTTCTCTTAGGATCTGAAACAAAAGTAGCCATTTATGACTAACCCTACTGTAGTTGGACGTGGAAGCAGTAAATGGATGCTTTGATGAATTATTTGCACAACGAATGAATTCGTTTGTTCGCCGAATGGTGATAAGAAGGACCAGTAGTTCTATGACATCAATGGCCCAACGACTTTTATCTTGTTATGACCTGTTTTTAAAGCCATGTTTCCCAGCAGTCTGTTGCACAATACACTTGGTCCTTATCAGGTTATTCGACATCTCGCTGATAAAGTAAGTTACGTTTGTGATAGCTAATTAGTCCTGTTCTATCCGGGTGGGGAACTGTTGTTCGTTAACACAATAATGATGGCGTAATTTCATACTTTAGTGAGGTGGTTACCGAGTTTCACCAACAAACACCTTATTATTAAACGACATTCTGATCCCAAAAAAGTCCTGATTCGAAAATGAATAACCCAGGTTTGCACAGAACACAAGGATAATAAGTTATTTTTCTTCAGTAGCAGAAATGCGTATTTCTTGTGACAGCATGATTTTGAGCGTATAACTCCTTCCAGATGATGGACCATATCAGTCAGGTAATTTGGGTGAAGCTATGAATCTTTACAGTGACTTTAAACATTTTACACTTCATCAGACTATGTTTGATAAACAAATGTCAATGGATAACTACGATATTCAATTGTGAATCATGTTCAATACATCAAGAAAAACAGGACGAACCGCGTTACATTCGGTACATTTAATGCAATATAGTGATGAGTGAGACGTGAACTTCGATGTAATATCTAAATAAATACTGAGATATATCAGAGAGAATAGATTTCAACACCAGACCTTTTCACACAGCCTTCAACCAACTAACACCTGTTTTTTAAATGTTAGTCTCGAGATGAAGGATAAGTTAATTAGGACAAGGATTCTGATACGATTCAAACAAAAATATTCCAAATACAACAGTTCACCTTTGATTTCATGACTTCTATTTTTGTTGAATAGGCCATTACTCCCTTCATGTTCATAGTCAGTCATATTGTTTTCATCATACTGTTCAGACACAAGATCGTCTCTGAGATATCCTGCAATGAAAGAATATATAAAAAACGGTAGCCACTAACTGCTATAACTTTTTGATGACTTGGCACAATACGGTACATAGCTCGATTGCTGTGACTTCAAACTGAGATCTTTGTTGTTAGTCAAACAAGTACAACTATTTAACAACATGACATTATATTAGCTTGACAGTTGTAATGTTAGTCCATCTAAACTGGTCAGTGTTCACTTTGTCACACATAGCCTCATTTAAAATGTACCTTATTGCTTAACTGACATTAAGGCTGTCAATAAAAACTAGCAGAAGACATATACGACCCAACTCAGAGTACAACGTAAACGCACAATAGTTAGAAATATCAGATGTCGTTTCTAAATTAGTAACGTGAATAGAATATTCCGAGAACCTCTTCTTCCCGTTTGTAATCAGTAATAATTTGACAGTAATTTCCAAAACTTTCAAAACAAAAAACTTTAAGTAACCTTAGATGGTCTTAGTTTCAAACTTAATCTAATAATAGTTAGGTCATGGCTATAGTTAAGAGAGAACATGAATCACGACGGAAAGCAAATAAGAGGAATCTCTGTTGGGTCGCGTAGTTGAACAACTTGAACAGTCGACGATCGCCTGACTTCTGACCTCTTGATAACGCTACGACTGAGATTTTTCCTGAACTTCAATCACTGCACTGGCATACCTAAACAAGATTTACCTTTTCATCAAAAGTAGACTTTTCTTAAGGTGTCACAGCGTGATAGGGACAAAGCAGAACTTATGAATAAACCATTATTTGAACAACCAAAAATAGATCTCTTTCTTAATATCTGTTATCAAGAATTCAAAATCCAAAGCTAAATATATTTTAGTCATTAGTGAGTAAGAAATTGAATCTATTGGGTTTACAAACAGTGAAAAAGAATCATGACAGACCAGTGACATATTGAGAACTCCACACTAGTGATTTCTTTCGAGATAATAGGAATGTCAGCAATACCAGTAAATAGCTTTTTTTCATTGCGCATGAATCCATACGAAATGTTAAATTTGATGATGAAGAGCTGTATCGGTGAGAAACGCTAAATTAAATGGTTAAATTCTGGTTATTAGATTCTCAGTTGTGACTCTAGAATCATAAATCTTTCGATCGATTGTCTTATAGTATGAGACTGTGGACTTTCTAAACTATTATATGACTGATTCTAACTCTCCTCTGACTTTCTCAAGTGACTTTTCCTAACAAAGAGATAATTTTGTGTATGATGTCATCATGCTCAAATAGTAATCGCTGACAAACTATCAACTCTGTTTCTTGGATAGTAAAAGTCGTCAGAAGAAACCGAAACATGTGTTAATGGTACAAAAGGTCAGTATGATTACAAAATAGCTGACATACAGACTCAACCTTAATGGTTCCAGATAAACATGTTGCTATATGAAACCCTAAGATCACAAAGTAAGGAAGCGACACTGAACACAGAAGTCGAAGCCAATAAGTGGTTACTGTTTGCATTCATTGCAATCATCTAATACATCATGATGAATTTGACTACAGTTGGTACTTTTGTCAAAGAAAAGACAATCTAAGAAAAGTGAAGCTAGCTGCTAACAAATGACGTCAGGAAGCCGTTAGATTCAAGCTAGGAAATGTGTGTGTTATCCTGAGGACTAATAGTTACAGAAGTAAATGTGCTAAAACCAGTAACCAATACAATATTTAATAATTCATCAAATAATTTAGGCTCTTCATAAATCGAGTTAGATGATCAGAGATTGTATTATGATGTGGTGATTCAAAATGTAACGGTTAAAAAAAGGAAAAAAACTTATTTCTCAGTTATTTGTCAAGTTTATACCGCTAAACTGTAATGAACTTTATGGAATTAACTATACTATTAACTATACTATTCGTTTCCATCAGCTTTCGTGAAATGAGTAGTTTTTTTGGAACTTTGTTTTAATGTGAAAGTATTGATTATCTTTAGAGAAGCAAGCAACATGTCTCCTTGAAAAAGAATGGACCAGGGTTACCAAAGTAAAACATAATTAATTAATGGGTCCAAAAGAATAAAATGCGTCCTAAAACAGCTAGCCACCAATAACATCGTTTCTGTGAGTAGCAGATATAAGAAACATGCTAAGACATGTTTGCATAAATTTAAAGATCTACGTCATCAGGTTGGAATCAAATACTTAGATTCATTCCTACAATTAAAGACAGTTTATATTTATATTCTCCCCAATGTACTGGATGTTGAAATTACATCTAATCTAAAATGTTAAGTAACCTTGTTTCCGCTGTTATTTTCAGCAGAGATAAATGATCACATTCAAGAAATCATATCCCTTTTCTTTAGTAATATTACTTTCTGTAATAGTTAGCACCCAAGAAAAAAGAACAAATTGGGTATAGACTGTAATCCAATCTTAGTGTCGCACCATTTTATCCAAGGTAGAAGCCCCCAGAATTCCCAAGCAGTGGAAAAGAATAAGGAAGAAAATCCAGCAAGCTATATGTAAGATAGCAAAGCGAGCATTCCCCTTCATAGGCAGGGTGAAAATTCAGTTGAGCTTCGAGATATCTTTGTGTAAAGTAAGTGCTAATGAAGTCATAGCCTTTTGATGAAACATCCAAGAGCGCACTCAAAGCTTGGACAGAAATAAACAACTATTACCTTCACCTTTAAATACAAATATTCTCTATCATCTGAAAAAGTTCTATTATTGTTTATTGCCATTCGGATGTCACCAGCGAAAAGTGCTTTAAACCCTTAAGAACTCGTACTGATGAGAATACCCCTAAATAGTACTTTTAATAATACGGTAGTCTTTATTGGTTCTTACATGAGGTGTAGCATTAGAAAACTATGTGATTTATGGTAGTGAACACTTTCGTGAGCGGAAGGTCTCTGACCTCAGTAAACGGAGCTCATCAGTCAGAGTAAAGTGATTTTGATGTTTGATAGTGGTCCTGCTTATTCGGAGTCCACGAGTACTCTTAAATATATTTGTAACAAAAAATAATTTTAAACGAGAGGAAGGTGGTCTATTATTTTGACCACTTAAGTCTACTCATCAAGTAGATCTAGTTTAAGAGAGTAGTTCGAAAATACTTGTGATGATCAAAATGGAAATTATATCACTGACTTCATAATTCATGTCAGACAGTTTATGAACATTTTGGTTTATAATGGTGGGTGAAAAATAAGTATTTTACATATGAATAGTTGATATTACCCAAATATTGCATCAGAAATACGTTGTGTATGCACTAAATGACAAACTAGTACACTTACTTAAACCTTCAACATTCCACAGTAATAATGCGATCCAAGTTAGAGTTAGCAGTTGGAGTTGAAGCTTCATTGTTGTAGACAGGATGATCATTAAAAGCGATTCTGAATATTTAGGGGTTATATTCACTTTTCTGTGCATGCAAAAAACAAGATTTATAGTCGGTCGAAAAGGCTCATAAATATTCGTTTGTCTTTACGACTATAGAAAACACAGTCACCAATGATATTCAATGAAACAAGAAAGGTGAAAAGAATACGGTGTCAGTTTTTTTGAGCTCCATATTTATGGATTTCACTATGTATGTTTATGCTTGTGTGTGAAACAATCTACATGACAGTATATAGGCTAGAGTGAATTAACGATAAGACAATAGAGTGCATACCTGAACATTTGACATAGTAAATTTTAATCCGCAGTTTTAGTGAAACAGTGCGACAAAAATAACACTGAACGTTATTATGTCACCTTGAAATTGATGCGAAAATATGTTTTATTTTCATAGATATCCAGTAGAAACTACTTTAGTTTTGATTTATAATATAATGGGTTTGTTTATTTATATTTGTCAAGGTGAATTATGTTTTGTTTACGGTCGCTGTTTACTTTATTTCTGTGTATTTGTATGTGGATGTATTGTAGTTTAACAGTTAATATACAAAGCAGCGGTTTATATTGGTTTTACAGACAGCATGTCCATATGGTTAACCCTTTATTAGGTAAATATTAAGTCCATACATGATGGGTTACAGTATGACAAAAGAATTCCATTGCTTTATTCAAAAAAATTACCAATGCTCATTCGGCAGTACTGTATTAACTTTTAATGTTTGCTCTTGGATATGGAAGAACTGTATTCCTAAATGCGATGTCTGATAGAAATGAGCGCTGCATGACAGCCTTCGATGCTGTTGGGGACATGATGATAGCCACTCCATAACTCAGTGTGCTGTGCTCGTGGTTGTCGTCTCTGTGACAATATCAGAGTAGATTATTGATTCTCCAGTTGACAGTTTGGAGAGTCCACTCCCATTCCATCTACTTTCGCAAATTCCAAGCACTTCAGTGTGATACCTTCTCATCTCGTTTGCAATATGGGCTGTCTTGCTGTATTCAAACATGGTGCAGACATTCCATGTCCCCACGTTTACTTTCGCTTTCATTGAGAGAAGAGGAGATACATCGGCCAATTGGCTTCCTGTGGGCTCTCAACAACTGCGTCATTTCGCCTCACCGATTCCATCGAGGAATAATTTTTTACTATTTTTTATATTTCGATTGTACTTTGAAGTTTCTGTAGTGGTTGGATTTGTTTTGCGGGGTCGGATTGCTATTCGTATGCCGAACCTTCTCTCTTTACCCGGGCTTCGGACCGGCTAGTAACTAGTAAACTACTTAACTAGTCGAGGTTTGACTGCACAATAATTATAAGTATTTATACATTTTCGCTTGTTTCTTTTCATTAAAATGAGAAGAATCACATCAATGCTTTTCTTCAGATGCTGACAACCTAAACAATATTTGAGACTACTAAAATTAGAAATGACTCTGTGTTCGGTTAGATTTCACTAGCTGGAAGATGTCAAGTGACAATACCTCAATTATAAAAGATAACAGGGTATAATGTCCATTGATAAACAGTTGCGAAAAAGACTCCAGTGTTTTAAAAATTATTTTCCACAAACCGTTTTGACTGGTAATAAAATTCGTTTGTCACTGTGCTAGCTCAAGTGTTTATAACACAATCGGAAAGTCAGATGATTTGAAACTAGGGAATGAGATACAATCTAACATAGTGTTTAACCCATAGCTACAAATTGATCACATTCAACAAAATGAAATGAGAACTATAATCACATTTGCAGATATAGACATCATTTTGGAAGTTACTCATATATACCGCACTTAGAATACTACTACCACTTGACAATCATTCACACAGAAGTTTGATTGTGCTGCCATACATAAGCCTAAACTTTCCATATTCCAGTTTACGAAACTTTGAAAATACTGTCAACAATGAATTGAGGAATGTTGGTCAAAAAACAATCCTATGTTGGCTGTAATTGCTACAAAATATAAATATCAAATTAATGGGAAGTTTGGTGATTGTATGATCTCTGTTCATTAAGAAGATGCACAATGGACTCAGAAGTAGAAGAATAAATAAGTAAATGTTAGTTAGACTGTGTTTAGCTATTTGGATTTTCTTCAGGGAATACACTTTTTCAAACAAATCTTCATACAATAACCGAGGAATGTAAGACTCCGACTTCATATAACACAGAATTGTGTGCAAAATACTTTACATGGTTCTCACAAATACTTCATATATATCAAGCAACTTTCCATAAAGTTCTAAAGCCTGGGAAAGAGTTTATTCAGAGAAATCTTGCTAATCTCTTCTATAGAGTAAAGTGGCTTCTCCATGATACAAGGATATTCTTATACACAAACTGATCTATATCATATGAATACGGTACAAACACTGTTATAATTTAGCAGTTACAATAAGTTCTACTTAAATATGAATATACAACCGCTGAATGGTAATATATTGATGAACCGATGTTTGAATTGTTATGATCATGCTTTTATGACTCTAAACCGATACATGAGCCGATTGAAGTTCCAAACAGTGTGTAAACACATTGTTGTAATCAGTAATGAATGAATTCAAACTTTTCAGTCTGGCTATTAATCTTAGTGGTAGCGAAGTATGGTGACTGCTTATTTAAATGGTGGTAGATTTAAAACAACTTCTCGCTGTGAGTTCAAAACAAACAACTAGGAGAAAAAACAAAAATATCTGTCATCAAACGAAGAAGCAGATAGATTTATCATAGAAAATTCTCATTCAAAAAAGATGACTGTTTCTTTTCATTAAAATGAGAAGAATCACATCAATGCTTTTCTTCAGATGCTGACAACCTAAACAATATTTGAGACTACTAAAATTAGAAATGACTCTGTGTTCGGTTAGATTTCACTAGCTGGAAGATGTCAAGTGACAATACCTCAATTATAAAAGATAACAGGGTATAATGTCCATTGATAAACAGTTGCGAAAAAGACTCCAGTGTTTTAAAAATTATTTTCCACAAACCGTTTTGACTGGTAATAAAATTCGTTAGCATACGTGCAGTACAGCAAATCGAAGTAAATTCTCATCTCTTAGTAGATTTATTATTTCATACACAGTTGATGTACCCAGATTGTGTCCTAAATTGATTTAATGTTAAGCGAGTGAACTTGTAAGTTACTGAGATTTCTTCTGTTGTGGGAGAAATTGATAGGAGCTCATCTTTCTGTCTTTCCAACATAATTACTTTGGCAAGCCCATGTAAGTGGATAAATGCATTTCAAGACGATGTTAGATGACTACTCATCCACATCGATTCAGTCAGTGCCACTTACATTTACAACTTTAGTTGATGGATTGTTGCTAGTGAGCGCGATTTTTAATGTATCTTAATGTATCACCCAAACGTCAACGCGTTTGCTCATTACATCAAGCAAAAGACAACCTGTCACTTGTGTCACGAGGTTCGGTAATCTTATGTGTAGCGCCCACTGAACACTTTTATTGTTCTCTTTCATTGGAGATACTTTTTCACACTAGGTCAATCACTTTCCATTTGTATGATTATACTGACCCTTCGAGATGTGGAGAGACCCTCCCATTATAATTTACACTAAAATTTATAAGTGAAACAAAAAGCTAATAATTCAGTAGTCACCGAACATCTAAACATATTATCCTTCTTGTTCATTTATCTACGTGGGAGCAACAAAAGAATTAGGTGCTAATACCAGCTTGTTCATGAGGTTTAAAAGTAATCAGTATGACTGAAATAACATTTAATGAATTCTCTTCACTCAAAATCACATATATTTTTAGGTTGTATTGTGCTCTATGTGTGTGGCCATTGTTTGCGCATGTATCACTGCCTGGTGGAGTCTTATCGTTTGGGCTTCGATCGCTGTAGTAACTGTAATAATATTGCTGTTGGGCTTCCGGTTACCCAAAATAACTAAGAAGGGATGGATTGTAGTGATGTCTCTATTAATCTCATTCGTACTACTAGGAATTATCTTTATTGGTCTTGGTATGTTGAAGGTGAGTGAAATAAGTATTTTCTGTTCAATAAACATTTTGCCTGCCAATGATTAGCAAAATGCCTGCTGTATGAACACTCAGATCACAATGTTATTTAGTATGCTTATGAATAGCCGAATGTGCATTGATCTTTTTAAGTATTCGTGAGTACATTTCTAAATCTTTCTGAAGAATATAAAGTTAGGATGCAATTGGTGTAGTAAGCTGTTGATAATATATGAAACTTGTACCTGTGGATGAGAGGAGTTCAGTGTTTTATAAGCTTTAATATTTGGTTGTAGACATGTTATTACCATGCTTGTTGATTTCATCAGCACTAACTCCGTCGAACATCAAAGGTCGATAAAAGTCAACCCATTGTTGCTGTTTTTTATTCATATGATGGGATGATTTGCAATTTACTTTTAAACTAGAAAGCCTTATCATAGAAACTTGGCTTTTCAAGCATTTCATCTAATTCAAGGTCACTTTGCAACAGGTCGAAAAGGGCATGGGAAAAATGTATCATAGGCAATTACATTTGATCTTAATTACAACGAAGCATTCTATTTTATAATTCACTTGGTAACATTCAAACCGGGATCTGCGTTGTCAGCATACTTCCAAAACAAATAATCATTCCATCTTTAAAGTATTATTGTAAATTAGATAAAACCTTCAGAACAAAAACCAACATGTTTTCAAGACAGAATTCATGATGGACATAAATCCATCGGAGAGACAATAAAAACCTGAGATCACTGAACAGCTACTTTGTGCTGTTGTGGAACCCCCCAGCAGCACTCATTCACAATGCCATCGGGGATCGGACCCAATTTATCATTTGTTGCCATCAACACGTTGCCATTCAACTACTTGATCAAAATCCTACACTTCACATTATTTTACTAATGTCAGTTTGCGATATGAGGTGACTGTTATCCGATGTCATCGGTGAGTATCTGTCCTCAAGTCTGACTTTACTGACCCCACAG